CTTTGCCGTCATTACCATTTATTTTATTTTGTCAATAAAAATTAAACATAATGATAATTTTTTATAGTAATATAATTATATTGTTTTGTTTTATTTCTAATTTATATTTATAAATATTTTTATCTTGTTTCTCATAATAAAAATAATATTAAATAAATATAAAATATACACTAAAAAAATTACATATTAATATAGAGTGTGCACATTCTAAGATAGATTTAATCAAAGAATTATCAAAGTATTTGTAAAATATTTCTAGGATATTCCTCTGAATAGAAAAATTATGAAAATATTTGGAAAATATTTCTAGGATCTTCTTTCGAGTAGAAAAATAATTAAAATATTTGAAAATATTCCAAGGATATTCATAATATAGTTGAATTAATTTGTAAAGATTTTAAGAAAATATAGATAATAAATTCAAATAACATAACCTATTTAAAATATCATTAAAAATTAAATAAACAATAATGTATTTTGTTTACTTACTGCTGAATAAATTATGCATTCATTGTATTTTATTAATACAATAATAATCTACAATTATTATTTTTTTCAATCGAATTTAAAATAACAGTGTGGTCTAATTTGTAAAGTTGTAAAATATGTGGATAATTTTGAAAAGTTGTGAAGTTGATGTGAAAGAGAATATTTTACGAACAATCTTTTGGGAATGGGAATGAGTTTTTTGGTCGGAGATGAATTACTGTTTGATGTGATAATAACTCCAAAATGGGTTTGAAAATGGGGTTTTCGATTGAGTGGCACACCTTGAATCCTGTCAGCAGGCTTATAGTTTATTACCAACAACAACAACATACCCAGTATATTTCCAACTGGTTGGGGTCTGGGGGGTCAGTTGTACGCAGACCTTACCCTTGTAATTATACAAGGAGGTTATTTCCGTAGCGACTCAAGGTGCATTGCGTCGTTTAATATATTTTTTTTTCTAGAAACTTCGCTAATAGAAGAAGCACTAGAATTTAATTGAGTCATTTTGATCTAGTCCATTATTAGCACTATGCCAGGAGAATTGTCAACAATGACTCTTCCAGCTCCATTTTCAATGGACAAGCTTATAGTTTATTACCATGTCATATATTTCATATCTCATTGAGCATCACTCCTTAGTAAAAAAACTATTTCACACAACTCTGTTGAGCAAAGCAAAAAATGAGGTACGAAATATCATAGATCCTGCAGGATTCAAATTTGCACAAATTATTTGGAATTGGAACTGTGTAGTGTCACAAATCTGAATCTGAAGGAAAATTATTCACGAACATTAGTATTCTGGGACGGGTATGCTTCATGTTCTTGAGCCTACTCGTAGGAATTTGATCTCGTTTGTTCGTTTGATAAGAATAATATATATGGAGGATTACTGATAGGATATGTATGATCTGTGGCTTTGTCGATTCTACTTGTACAATAAAAAAAAAAAACTAAAAAACTGTGCGTGCGAAAGCATCTGTTGATCTGCAATGTACTGAAGTTTGTTCGGCTTAAAAAGGAGCTCCATGTAGACCAATGTGTTGTTCGTTGTAGAGTGTGTTTGCTTGCAAGAAGCTTACTGTGTCTGGTGCATGTTGTTTTTATTGCTGCCATTTTGAAAAATATTCAGTCAAGCTGATTGTATAGTTTGTAAACCTTTTTGTGCACTTCAAACCCATACACTAAGTTTATAAAATGTTCCTGGAAAGCTATGGTATTGTATTGAATATTTTTTTTGGTATAGGGACCTTCTGGTTTTCGACTTCACAGGGGAACCGACTAATCCGGAATCGAGCCCGGTAGGACCACAAGGGCGGCAAAGCTCTCCCTCAAGAGTTTTAACACTGCTGCATTCTCAGGGCTCGAACGAGACCACTAGTTAAGCTGGAAGAGACCCAAGCCATCTCATTCAAACTGGAAGAGTTTTAACACTGTTGTATTGAATATTGATACAACTTGAACGGGAAGGGAAGCTATGGTATTTATGCAAATAAATTTACATTTTGTATTAAGAAGTGACTTGTGTCTGTATGTTATAATTAGCCTCATAAATACCAGATTTATATTAAGAAGTGATTTGTGTCTGTATGTTATACTTAGCCTCATAAATACCAGATTTATATTAAGAAGTGATTTGTGTCCGTATGTTATACTTAGCCTCACAAATACCAGATTTTGTAATTGTGAAACAATTATATACTGCAAAAATAAAAACCAGATTTTATAATTGTGAAACGAACTAATATTGTAAAGGATATATTAATTTTTATGTTAATTAACCAATCATCCATGTTTATATTATTAATATAGGGAATTTGAATTATCACAATAAAACAATAAACAAAAATTACAATTATTTTATAAAGGAATTTTTAATTTTCATGATAATTAACCAATCATTCATCACCATTCGGGTTGAGCATCTATCTACTTATTGGACTGTTCAACTCACATATGGTTGAGAACTTCAAGCAATTGGGTTGAGAATTTCAAGGAGAAACCTAAACCTTACGCTCAACCAAAATGTAATTACAATTTATTTTATACTACCAATAACAGTTAAAACATAATGATTATTTATTAAATTATTGTAATTATATTTGTCACTATCTGTTTTATCTTTAATATTATTTATAAATATTGTTATCTAACTTTTCACACTTAAGTAATATTAAATATATATGAAATATAACTAACAAAATTACATATTAATATAGGGTGTGCACATCTAGGATAGATTTAATCAAAAAATTATTAAATTATTTGTAAAATATTTCTAAGAAATTCATTTGAATAGAAAAAATATGGAAATATTTGAAAAATATTTCTAGGATATTCCTCTGAATATAAAAATTATGAAAGAATTTGAAAAATATTTCTAGTCATAAAATAATTTCTAGGATATTCATAAAATAGTTTGAATTAATTTTTAAAGAACTTAAGAAAAAATTGATAATAAATTCAAATAACATTACCTATTTTAAATATTATTCAAATTTAAAATAAAAAATAATGTAACTTTTTACTTAATGAAAAAAATATGTATTCCATATTTTTTTATTAGTACATATTATTAATTTACAATCAATTTTTTTTTCAATCGAATTTAAAATAATTGTGTTGTTTAATTTATAAAGTTGTAAAATATTTATAAGCTGATCTAGATACTCCTTAATTCAACTCGGTCCAAATCATTATTTATTGTGTTAGTTACATAATGCATTGTTATAATCTTATTGCCATTATCAACTTCAATCACATATACAAATGTGGCCAATAATACCTTTCCTCTCAATTTTTTTTGGAAAGCCAATATGTTCAAGAACAACGGGCAAAATTTCATTTTTGATTCAGTATAATGACAATTTTCCAGGAAATGATCCAATATTTTGGCAGACATCAAACTTACTACAATAAATTGAAAAATTCATCATATTTGATCCAATAATCACACGACCCCGATAATTTTCCTACGTTTCATGATTGTATTTTCCACGTCATTTTTTGAGGCAAAGTAATTTCTAGGTGGCGATGACTAGGCGAATGCCAGTCCAGGCAAAATTTTATTTTTGGTCCATTATATTAGTCATTTTCAAGGAAAATCCAACATTTTGGCAGACATCAAACTTAGTACAATAAGTTGATAATTTTATTATATTTGGTCCAATAATCAGGCAATTCGGATAATTTGTCTACGTGTCATAATTGGTATTTTTCACATCATTTTTCGAGCCAAATTAATTTCCATATGGTAATGACTCGGAGAATGCGTGGACTGTGACCTTTCCCATTCCCATGGAAATAACGTAAATTGATCATGTGATTTTTACGATTTATTCCGATGGATTCTAATGGTCATGATCGATGACTTCCACAGCGGCAGATGGTTCTTATTATAACTGCCATTGTCATTTCATCACCGTCTATGTTTTCCCCTAGATTGGATTGTCAACTGAAGCACTAGGCTCGCCATCCAAGTTGATTGCCTTAGCGTTGCACTCGATAAAACCTCGTAACACTCTCTATACCAAGGGAATCCGTAGCAAAGGAAAAATGCTTGAACATCGGTCTCCTTCTATGTAATAAATTTGACCTCTAGCAGGTCGAACTCTTGCAGGTCAAGATGACCTCTAGCAGGTTGAGTTGGGCTATAGCTCCTCCGTTATGGAAAGGTGACCTCTAACACCTCTAGCTCCTCATACTTAGCCACTGAGAGCACCTCTACTTTCCCATACTTAGTCATGAGGACCTTTTTATACTTAGTCCCAGGGAACACCTTATACTTAGTCATCGAGGCCTTCAAGTCTCATCTAGACCTCCTCAGGTCGCTCTTCCTCGATTTCGCTTGGACCTCGTAATATTTGACTCCGATTCACAACTATGAACCCGCTTTGTTAGCTTGGAAGGCTAGGGGTTATAGTCGACGTCGATTCGTTTATATCAAACTTAATTTGTAGAACTCATATCAAACATCATTAAAAAGACAATAAGTACCATTTAATGTTTTGGCACGTAACTAGAAACACCCTTATGATACATGATCATATGATACATGGCCATATCCCATATGCCCATATGTTGTTGTGTACCAGACAAAGTGTTCTTTCTCCACAACATGGCCCCACTACTTTACATGATTCAACAGTACTACTGACTAATCAAGATTCAGCTTTTCCTCTTTAATCTCCACCAAAGATCCAAATTGTTTTTTTCTCTCTTAAAAACAGAAGATCACTTGTAAAAAAATTCTTGTTTTCTGTAATTATCTGTTTATGGTTCAAAGTTTCTGTATTTCTCACTCCAATCATCAATCAAACCCTTCTTCCTTTTGTATTCTTGTGATCAGAACGCATCAAATCTCCAGCCCGTGCCCCATTTCTATCCACAACTCCCACCTCACACAATGTTTCAGATAACAAATCTACTCAAAAAGCCATAAGCTTTTTCCCATGACCTCTCAAATGCCAGTGGCTTAAAGTGGCTTAACTGTGCACTGCTCACCGACTTCACAAAATTCTGCTATGGCGGCTAAACCCCATGTAAAAATCACCATCGCCCTTTTTCTCTTTACCCTCTCCGTCGTAAAAGCGCGACGGACCCCGACGATTTAGCCATACTCGACGAAATGGCCGGAGGATGACAACCCGTGTGGCCCGCCCAGCTGGGACCATGTGTACTGTTCTGGGGACAGAGTTACTCAGATTCAAGTCAGGGGCTTGGGTTTGAAGGGCCCTTTGCCTCAGACCTTCAACAAGCTGTCCATGCTGCAAAATTTAGAAAGTAGAAAGTGCTAACATATAAATAACCTAATGTGCTTAGGTACTAGCGGCTCCAGCTGCTGTTTAGCATAAATCTTTGCTTTATCGGCCAATTTTAATTCCTCAGGATCAACTGCCTCATAGGCCCGACGATGAGGATCTTGGGCATAAACAATGATCTCCTTAAGCGCGACACAATTTTCCAACAAGTAGTTGACTAATTCAACATCACTTGGGCAACCATAATAACCTAAAAACCGAAAAACATTCAAGTGTTGGTGCAGTGGAAAGTGCTTAACACCCTTCTGAATTTCTCTGTTCGACCTTTCAGGTTCAAACCATGTTTGCTGCAAATATAAGTGAGAATATAATGAAGTTCAGACATTAATTTAACAAGTAAAATTTAAGACAAAAAAATACAAGCCATTCAATGATGACCAGTTTACGCGAGATTGTAGGGATAATATATTCGGGATAGACCAACCTTTAACTCAAATTCTTCCAAGTTGGGAGATGCCTTGATTAAACGAGCTAGGTCTAGAAGACTGAAGTCCACTCCATATAAAACTTTCATGAAGACCAACTTCCTAAGTTTGGGCATCACAGGGAAATTGAGCGTCGGTAGAATCTCCTGCAATAACAATAAAATAAAGATATCAATAGGTAGTTACATATACAGTCTAACTGGGCCTTCCTTTAAATACCTTCCACTTGAGTTACTTTTGGAAAAATTATTCAACTTCTCACAATTTCAAAATTCCTGCTCAAACATTATTCATCGATATTTGTAGCTTTCAATATCTTCCGAAAAATAAAAAAAGAAAAATAGTCCCACGTCAGGTTCTGAACACAAAGATTACATGACGTGCTAAATGATACTTCACTTTTGGAATCTCTATTGCTAATTTGACAACCGTTTGAGTATTGTGTGAGCCACCAAATTTAACAGTTGGCAAATCCGCAATAGGGCTCTATTATTATGTTTTATAAAGCAAAGAAAGAAATTAACCATGCTATATTTACTTTACTGTCAATAGGATCCACTAAGTGAAGATAAACAAAATAAGAAAGACAACTACCTTCTTAAGCAAAATGTTCAAGGTGAGAATCTCCAATTGGGAAAGACAGCAAAGCAGTGTGGGAACTAGCCTTTGTACAAACATAGAATCAGGCCAAGCGTCTCCAAAGGTCACATAAACGTCACGAAGCATCGGAACGCCCTCAAGCAAGAGGCCTTCTATTTTATCAAGTATAAGTGTAGTAAGAATTGGAGCAGAAATTCTTAAGGATTTCAAATAACTGCAGTGCCTTATCTTCAAATGCTTTAATGCAAGGGATGGTCCGCAAACTTCAAGACTGGACAATATCTCGGAGCAATGTACAACTAAATGCTCGAGTAATGGGCAGTAACGTAAGAGAAACTCGATAGCTTCACTAGAGATGTTAGTGCAGCCTAAGCACAACATTTTTATGGTTTTATAGTTGAAAAGTTTGCTAGATTTATAAGGATGATAGGAACTGTTATTTTCCCACAACAACTCTTGCGGAAACACGTACATTTCAGATGGGTCATGAAAATAATTACCATCTGAAAGGTTCAATTCCAACTTTTCGATGTGCCTCTCAAAAAGCAAATTCAAGCCACTTGGTAATTGACTTGGTAACTGACGGTGATTGGACTAAACTAAAACATATTCTTAATTCTTTCAAGTTGTATCCTCTGTGTGATTGGAGAATTGAATCCACCCACCTTACATACTTTTCCCTCTCTACATAGCGAAAATCCGGGTCCTGGATAATCTTCTCCATGGACCTATGGTTATCAAAGTTGAGATACGAGGTGTAACTCCACAAGTTTCTCCAGCGAGATGAAAGAACACTTGTTCGCTCAGCTTCTTTCAATGGGAGGGAATATAGGATAACAAGGAGAATGTCATCAGGCAACCGACTCACAAGATCATCACCATGGTATCTCTCAACACACTGTCAAACAAAAATGGCGGTAACCCGTTAAGAATGCAATGATCAACAACTTGCACGTGGAACTCGGTAAAAAAGCATGTTAATTCTATACGGCAAGAAAAAAATCCTTTTTTATGGTTGAGATTACCAGGACTACCACAAGGAAAAATTACAAACACAGCATTAATACCCATAAAATAAATCGATGGAAATAAGTTAAAGCAATCGTCCACATCGAGCCAATCAATTAAAATCTTTAGGAAGCTATCACAATCCTGCACCCCAAGTTATATAATAGTTAATTATAGAATCAGCATTAGTTATCAATTGCTTCTTAAGAGTATGAAACATAAACAAGTTCTAAAACGCTGATATCGAAACAATCAATAACTGAAATCCATATGAGAACAAGAATCCCAACATAAATCTTATCAAATTCGGACTAAAAAATTTCATCTTTTTTCGGTCTCAACTCAAATTTCACCTTTTTTAGGTCCGTCTCACCATATTCAGACTCAAAAATTTAAATCTTTTTCGATCTCAACTCAAATTTAACCTTTTTAGTTCCGAAAAATTTCACCTTATTGGGTCCGAACTTGGAATCAAGGTTGACGACACGCCTCCCAGCCATGAAAGCGAGCAACAATGTTTGGAGTTTGGACTGACCAAACGCAGATCTACAATAAAAATCAGAATACTTTATGTAAATATGAATCAAATAAAGGGAAATGTCTCCATATGAAGATTTACCTCGGCGCTGCAACAAAACCTGTAATATTAGGTCTGGAGATGAAAGATAGGTTGGAGGTAAAGGGAGGAAATTGGTCCATATATGCCTTCTCATGGGAAGAATCAATTTCACTCAAAGCTAGTTGATAGTTGATAAGTTAGCTTATAGCTTATCAGTAATTTTTGAGCTTATAGCTGAAAAGCTAGCTTATATGATAAAAGTGTTTGGTAAAATTAGCTGATTAAGCTAGCTGAAATAAAAATTTCAACGAGCTTATTTGAAAAACTACCAAAAGAAGCTTATCAAATAAGCTCGAGCTTTTTAAATAAGCTTGTCCTACCAAACGGAGCTTATTTGAATACAGGGAACTTATAAGCCAATCAAATAAGTTATAAGCTAGTTTACTGGTCTACCAAATATAGCCGAACACTTTTAAAATTCTAGTGTATTCAATTAGAACTTTTAAAAACTTCTAAAAAGTTTACTTGTATTTAATTGAGACTTTTAATGACTTTTAATAAGTCTCTAAAAGTCTCAGGGATTCAATTAAAACATTTTGAGAGTCTTTATAAGTCACCCGGTATTCAAAACATAAAGACTTTGTGAGACTTTTTAAATTTTGAGACTTTTGAAGACTTTTGTAACAAAATTACCAAGAAAAAGTCTCAACAAAAATCTCATCAATATTGGTGAGATTTTGCTGGACTTTTGTGTCTCTTTTCATGCTCTCTTTTTTTTCTTTATAACACGACTTTGTATCTCATATCATTTTCATGCTCTATTATTTTACTTATTTATTTTGATACCTTGTGTAATTTTATTTTCATTACGTATATTAATGTGACATTTTTATTTTATATATTCTTTATTATGCTTATTTTATGTGTATATACCTTTATTCTCTCAGTTTGCTATCTTATGAATTTGACTATTCAAAGATTAATGCTTCCATAGTCGCACTTGCAAATAATTTATTTGTTTTTTTCTTTTTATTTGTAAATGTTTATTTCAAAATATTAAAAAATTATTTTATTTTCAAATAGTTTGTTTGTTAATATTTAAATGTTTTGAATATTATTGATAATTTTATAAGATATAATTATTGTTTTTCAACAATGTTTGTATCTTGTAAAAATATAACCTAATAATATTTTTCTAATAACATTATGCAAAGAAATATAAAAAATAAAATCAATCAATAATTAAATAAATATATCTTAATTTGGGTTGATTATAAGTGTCGTTATAGCAGATATGTCTAACACATATTTGAGTTTGTACTCTTTTAACAAACAAATATAAGGCCCTGCTCGATTCGACTCGTTGAAGCTCGGATCGATTTACTCGTTTAATAAATCTAAAATCCTAAACAATTTGTTCGTAAATAACTCATTTCGCATAAAAATGAATTAATTCATAAATTTTTAGAGGATTAATATATACATCATCTTTTTTTTCATTTATTCTTGTTTATATTAGTTATTATGTTACGTTTATTAATATTTTATTCAAATATAATATTATAACTGCAAGTATATAAAAGTCTCAATAAGTTTTAAAAAATCCATTATGAAAGTCTTAAATAGTCACTAATGAAAATTCTCTGAAAGTCACAAAAAATCCACCAAAGTCATAAAAGTTCTACAAAAGTCCACAAAAGTCATCAAATTTAAAAAATTTTAAAAAGTCTTTAAAAATTTTAATTGAATACACTAAGATGAGCCGAACATATTTTAAACTATTATGAGTAGGGTTGCTTACGAAGATTGAGCCGAACATTTTCAAAATTTTAATATATATACTTTCACATAAAAATGTCATATTTTAGAATATCATATAAATAAAATATAATATTTGTACACCTATATATTTATATTAAAATAATATATATTGAGTTGATTCATCTAATGATTAGGTGTCTAACAAAAAATATTGTGAACATGGAGTTTGCTACTTTGCCACCCTCCATTACAACACGATTTACAACCATGTGTAATTGAGACATTAAAAAATGCAATAATGCACATTTTTCACTGCCTCCATTACACATGGTTTTCAAAATCAAACCCAAATTCATTGGTTATGAATGAGTAGAACTATCAAACGAAAATAGTTTGTAGATAAACTCAAGCTCATTTATGGAGCCAAGTCGGGCTTGTTTATTGGCTCATTAAGGCTAAAAAAATACTATCTCCTATTTATAATATATGTCGTTTTGAGAAGTTGCACGTTAATTAAGAATAATTTTTTTGTCAATAATAACCTTATTTAATGAAGATAGAGATGAATGTTTTGAGAAAAAGTGAAGAGTGAATATGAAAAGACGTAATGTATTTATTGGCTAAATGAGGGTAATAATGGAAAAATATGTACAAAATATTCAAAACGATATTATTTATTTGACAAATAATTGATAAAGATAGAATGACATTTAAAAAAAAAATAGGAGGGAGTATGATTTTTTTTGTTTATTATCCGACTTGTTAAATTTCAAATTTGACTCATTATTATAAGATAAATGAACTGATCAAGATAGTTTGCCAACTCATTTGACTCATTGTATATTGAGCTCCAACTCGGATTGATTCATTTGTGATACCCCCAAGTTTATGAGATACATTGAAAAAGTTTGCAGAACTCATATCTTCAAACAACATTAAAAAGACAAAAGTACCATTTAATGTTTTGGCACCTAACTAGAAACACCCTTATATGATATATGGGTCATATGATACTACATGGCCATATCCCATATGCCCATATGTTGTTGTGTACCAGACAAAGTGTTCTTTCTCCACAACATGGCCCCACTACTTTACATGATTCAACAGTACTACTGACTAATCAAGATTCAGCTTTTCCTCTTTAATCTCCACCAAAGATCTCATTTTTTTTTTTTTTTCTTAAAAACAGAAGATCACTTGTAAAAAAATTCTTGTTTTCTGTAATTATCTGTTTATGGTTCAAGTTTCTGTATTTCTCACTCCAATCATCAATCAAACCCTTCTTCCTTTTGTATTTCTATCCACAAATCCCACCTCACACAATGTTTCAGATAACAAATCTACTCAAAAAGCCATAAGCTTTTCCTCTTGACCTCTCAAATGCCAGTGGCTTAACTGTGCACTGCTCACCAACTTCACAAAATTCTGCTATGGCGGCTAAACCCCATGTAAAAATCGCCGTCGCCCTTTTCCTCTTTACCTTCTCCGTCGTCGAAAGCTCGACGGACCCCGGCGATTTAGCCGTACTCGACGATTTCAGAAAAGGGCTCGAAAATGCCGAGCTCTTGAAATGGCCGGAGGACGACGACCCGTGTGGCCCGCCCAGCTGGGACCACGTGTACTGTTCTGAGGACAGAGTTACTCAGATTCAGGTCAGGGGCTTGGGCTTGAAGGGCCCTTTGCCTCGGAACTTCAACAAGCTGTCCATGCTGCAAAATTTAGGGCTTCAGCAGAACCAGTTTACTGGAAAGCTGCCGTCTTTTAGTGGGTTGTCCCAATTGAGGTACGCTTATCTGGATTACAACGAATTTGACACCATCCCTTTAGATTTCTTTGATGGGCTTGTGAGTTTGGAGGTTTTGGCTTTGGATTATAACCCCTTGAACGCCAAAAATGGCTGGTCTTTGCCTGCTGGCCTGCAAGATTCAGCACAGCTTACAAATCTAACTCTCATGAACTGCAACTTGGCCGGCCCTTTGCCTGCATTCTTGGGAAATATGTCGTCTTTGGAAGTCTTGAAATTGTCTTTGAATCGGCTTACCGGGGGGATTCCGGATAGCTTCACGGGTTCTTTGTTGACAATTCTTTGGTTAAATGAGCAGTCTGAAGGGTTGAGTGGTCCAATTGATGTTGTTTCAAGCATGTCCTCACTCACTAGTCTTTGGCTACACGGGAACAAATTTTCGGGTAAAATCCCAGATAATATCGGGGATTTAGCTTCTTTGCAGGATCTCAATCTCAATGGCAATAATCTTGTTGGTTTGATCCCTGCTAGCTTGGCAAATATGGAATTAAATCATCTGGATTTGAACAATAATCATTTCATGGGCCCTATGCCGATATTCAAAGCTGTTAATGCTACTTTCAAGTCGAATCCGTTTTGTCTCTCTGTTCCCGGAGCTCGTTGTGCCCCTGATGTTATGTCACTGTTGGAGTTTCTCGACGGGATTGACTACCCGGCCCGGCTCGTCTCGTCGTGGAGCGGCAATGACCCATGCCCAGATTCATGGCTAGGAGTGGGGTGCGACCTGAGTGGAAAAATCGTCACCTTAAACTTGCCAAACTCGAACCTTTCCGGCACATTAAGCCCGTCGATCGCGAATCTCGCCTCCCTCACTCATATATATCTGGAGTCCAACAATCTCTTGGGTCCCATCCCGACTAACTGGACCAGCTTGAAATCTCTAGCACTTGTTGATTTGAGCAAGAACAACATTTCCCCACCCATCCCGATTTTCAGCGCCAACGTGAAGCTCGTCTTAGGAGGAAACTTTTTATTAAACCCCACCCCGGCCGGCGGGCCCCACAGTGGCTCGTCACGGGACTCACCGCCCTTCCCTCATTCGTCAGCTGTCAATTCCAATTATAGCCCTGATAGTTCTTCTTCGTATGATTCAACTGGACGAAGAAGAAGAAGCCCCAACAGGCTACTACTTGTAGTTTTAATCCCCACTTTGGGTTTTGCCTTTTTGGTATTCGTGTTGGTTCTTTTGTCCATTTGCCTCTGCAGAAGGAAAAAAGGGGAAAGGCCCACGTCGAGCTCCCTTGTAATCCACCCACGGGAGCCGTCCGGTTCGAACAGCACGGTCAAAGTGGCAGTTGCGGACCCCAACTCCTCAAGTTGTACCACAAGCATAAACAGCGGTACCCGGTCCCACGTCATTGAGTCCGGCAATCTGGTCATATCCGTTCAGGTCCTGAAAAACGTGACCAGAAATTTTGCGCCCAAAAATGAGCTCGGGCGTGGCGGGTTTGGGATCGTCTACAAAGGCGAATTAGATGATGGGACTAAAATAGCCGTCAAACGAATGGAGGCTGGAATTATGAGCAGCAAAGCCTTGGACGAGTTTCAATCTGAAATAGCGGTTCTTTCGAAAGTCCGCCACCGGCATTTGGTGTCTCTTTTGGGGTACTCGGTCGAGGGTAACGAGAGGATCCTTGTGTATGAGTATATGTCTCAGGGGGCGCTCAGCAAGCATCTCTTTCACTGGAAGAAATTGGATTTGGAGCCTTTGTCTTGGAAGAGGAGACTGAATATTGCGCTTGATGTGGCTCGGGGGATGGAGTATCTTCACACTCTGGCTCATCAGAGTTTTATACACAGGGACCTTAAGTCGTCAAATATATTGCTCGGTGATGATTTTCGAGCAAAGGTGTCGGATTTCGGACTGGTTAAGTTGGCTCCTGATGGGGAGAGGTCGGTCGTGACTCGTCTGGCCGGGACTTTTGGGTATCTCGCGCCTGAATATGCTGGTAAGAAATGTGGTTGATTTTGCAGGTCCTTTTTTAAATTGGTATTGTGAATCAGAAAAATAATACACACATGACTAACCCTTCCTATAATTTGAACAGAGATTTTTCCATTTGAAAGAAAGCTTGAAGCTTTTTTCTTGTCCTCTTGAAATGATTTTCAACATCTTACTTTTATAACTTGTTACCATAAATTGCTCTGTCCATAAATCTTTACTTTATAACTGTTATCTAATCATGTTGCGTCCTATTTCAAGTTATGGGCAAAATCACGACAAAAGCGGACGTGTTCAGCTTTGGAGTTGTCCTAATGGAGCTGCTAACCGGCATGATGGCCCTCGACGAGGCCCGGCCTGAGGAAAGCCAGTATCTGGTTTCTTACTTCTGGCAAGTGAAATCGAGCGCGGACAAGCTGTGGGCCTCCATCGACCCGCCACTGGATGTCAAGGGTGAGGCCCGCGAGAGCGTGTCCATTGTGGCCGAGCTCGCAGGCCACTGCACAACCCGCGAGCCCGGACAGAGGCCTGACATGGGCCATGCAGTGAACGTCCTGGCCTCGCTAGTTGAGAAGTGGAAGCCACTCGATGACGAGACTGAGGAATATTGTGGCATCGACTATAGTCTGCCGCTCGACCAAATGGTGAAGGATTGGCAAGAGGCTGAGGGCAAGGATGTGAGCTACATGGACCTCGATGATAGCAAAGGGAGTATACCGTCTCGGCCTGCGGGTTTTGCCGAGTCCTTTACATCGGTTGATGGCCGTTAGGATTTTGGTACTTTACATCGGTGTGGATATGTTTGTTTTAGTTTGTTTTGAGGTTTTGTGTCCTCGTTCTTGTTCTTGTTTTCTTTTTTTTTTTTTTCTTCTTTGAAGTTTTGGTTTGGATGCAGGGGCGATTCTACGGTTTCATTACGGAACCAATTCGTCGGGGTTTGTAACCGTTAGATCAACTATCCACGATGGTTGCATGATGATCTAATGATTACAATTTCCGACAGAATAGTTCCGTAACAGAACTGTAGCATTTTCCTAGATGCAGATGAGGTAATGGGGGTTTACATTGTGTTTCTTGTGACCCTTGATATCAATGTGTAGATATGGAACAACACTGAGAATGCTATCAAATGTGCATTTTTTTTTTTTTCCTTTTTAAATAAAAATGATGACGCTATAAATGTGTCCAGATGGCAATAATATGATGAAGAAAAAAAAAATAATAATTGAAAAATTAATGGGGCATCAACATCGATGATGGGGCGGAATTGGGTTGTCACTGTAGAACGTGAAAGTCGATTTCAGTGTCGAGAGAGTACTCTTTAACAACCTTAGTGCGTATTATATGATATGATCCCCCGTGTCGTGGTCACTTGTCACATAAATCATAATAAATTACTTAAATTATTGATTGATGGTTTATTATTGGTATGAGTGAGGTCTCAATCCCATCTACTAATTACGCACTTAATTTCCTTTAATCGCTGCAATCACTCTCCATGACTTTTTGTGATGGATGGTGCAACGTATGAATAATTGTTAGATTGAAAGGAAGGAGAGAGAGAGAAAAGGGTGAGATGAAGATGAAGATGAAGATGGATGGATGAAATAGCAAAAAAATGAAAGTGAATTATTAGGTATGTAATGTTGCTTTTATAGTGTACATTTATAATTTAAATCGGTCGAAGGTCACCACTGGAAGAAGCATTTGGTCGAATGATAGATCAGATGGGACAGGACAACAACGTTCATTATCAAGTATATCCCAACTCGAGGTAATTGAGGTAGAGTCCACGATCAGGTCATCTAATGAGGAGAGCTTATAAATAAGCGGAAGAATCATAGGGGAATTAAACCCCTCACATTAGAGGAATTTGCACCCTCCACTTAAACAATCTAAGAATATTACATAAATACATCTTATATATAATTATTTACAAATTAGCTAATTTTGTTATATTTATTTGCATATATGCCTAAAAGCTAATTTCCTACTTACATGGTAACTTCCCATTAATACATCTCTATCCTCTCCCTCCTCTCTCTCTCTTTTCTTCACACACGGCTCTCTCTTTTCTTCTCGCACAAAGCCACGCCACACCAACAGAGTTGATGGCTTGATGCTTGTTGAGATTTATTTACATCACTACAGGACAAATGATGTCCTTTTTATCCATTGATTAATTTGTAGGTGCAACTAATTTTGTTTCCTTCTAAAATTTCCATTGTCTTGGATCAAAAGCTCCACAATTTTGTTTTAAAATTCTTGTGATCGAACACCTTTTCGCTTTAGATCTTCTGATATGGTGATTAATTTATATTTACTCCCGTTTCGACTGAATCAATCGACTCCTCCAATCCCCCTTCTCACATCCGCCACATCCTCCGATCCCCTTTCCGTCGTCGCCTTCGCCTTGCTAAAGCACCGCCGCCCCGCGGGTGAGAATATTCGCGACGGCCCGCCGCCGCACCTCGTCCCACGACTTCTCCGCCCCTTCAATGCCGACCCATCCTCCACCGAGTCCTACTCCCTCGACGAGATCGTCTACCGAGCCATCCCCGCGGTCGACATCTTCAGGTAGGCATCCGAGAATCGATCTCCATTGAGTCGACGAGGGAGAAGAGGAATATCTTTCTAGAGGATGATCTATATTCAGTATATTTTTAGTATTTTTTCAGTATTTTTTCATCCCCCCTCATATTGTATCGTGTTTGTATCGTTTTCCCCGTTATAGTATGGTTTATATTCAGTATATTTTTGGTATATGTATGGTTTATATTTAGTAAAATTATAGAAAATATATACAATACATACACCATTCTTACGGTTTGTGTATATGATGGTATATGTTGCGTTTATGTTAATATATAACTTTTTTTAAGAAAAATATCGATCGGGCCTCCATTGTTTTGTGTTATGTTGTGGTATATGTACAGTATATGATCGGTATATATACAATATATATGAAAAATATACCTTTTTTGACCTGGTAGGATGAAGGAATATACCTGGAATAAAATTCAACTTTTTTTTTTGTGGTAATTTGCGTAACTTTTTTAAGAGTAAAATTCAAAATGCATTTTTTTTAGCAAATGGATGGAAATCACAGGCTAAAGAATGAGAGAAAGTTGAATTGTTATGGTAATTGAATCAGACAAATTAAATGCACGTGGAGAGTGGTTAGAATTAATTGGTAACTGCCATTATCCATTAATGTAGATAAATATTATCTTTTAGGCAAAGTCACAATTAATTGTATGTGTGTGGTAGAGTTGTAATTTTTTTTAAAACGTGTAGGAGGGTTGAAAATTTCCCCATGGTAAAACCACGTGGCGTCACCCGAGTAGTCCACGCATCATAACCATCTCTGACAATTCAGATTGCTATGCTAGTTCTGACAGCTGAGGCAGCTCACGTGCCCGACTTGGGCCCTAAGGTTTCTTCTCCCTATAAAAGGGAGTGAGGTATTGCCTAAAACATATCATATTCTCTGTTATACTCAATATACTACAGAGAGAGCTTCTTCTTTCTGCACTTCATCTGCTAAACTTACTTATTTAAACATCGGAGGCTTTTCACTGGAGACCCCTTTCGGTGTGAGAGTTCTGCAGATTTGAGGACGTTCAACCGACAACCAGCTCGAGATCCAGACGTTCCCATCTCGCTCCAGTCAGTCGAAGGTCTTTTTGATACCACATCCCACTTATACACACACAGCGTGTGCGCACGCGCACACACACACACATATATATATAGAACTCAACTAAACCCTATTTTATACTCACAAAATGAAATATTAATATTGACACAATTTCTGGGTGATTTAATTATCACAAAGGGAAATGCTACAGTCCTGTTACGGTACCATCTCGTTAGGCGTTTTAGCCGTTGGATCCACATGTAGTTAGATAAGATATATGATCTAACGGACAAAATACTTGACGGGATAGTACCGTAACGGGACCGTACCATTTTCCTATCACAAAATTGTTGTATAGATATAAATAGGGCTTTGGGCCTGTTAAAGAAACCCGAGGCCCATATATACCTTAGAACCCAGGACATACAGTTGCCTTGTCGAGTTAACAAATTAATAAAGCCCGGGAAACTTTTGAAGGAGGCTAAAATCTATCATGGCCGTTAGAAGGGGCAAAATAAAAATTTTCAACACATTTTGCTGTTACCATTTTCCCATCAAAACCGGAAGGAGCTGAAGCAGATGCAGTCGAAGATCACCACCTTCTTCAAGCCCTCTTCTTCTCCATCTTCCCGCGATTTGTCGGCCTCAGTTCACGAAGAGTTACCGGGAGAGCCGGAAATCACCGTCACCTACAGGCGCCGGAAGTTTAAACAGCTATGGTAAGTATTCGCATACCATTAATTCGTAGTTAAATTTTGTCCTCAATGATCTTGTCGATTTCACCGGTGAGATCTGAAACTCTGAGATCATTCTCAGCTTAATCCAGCATGTTTGCATCACGAGATTTTCTAGCGCACAACTAGGCGGATCTTGATAATTTTGACAGTTTCTATGTTCATCTATCGTGCTTTATGTATTCGTTTTGCTTCTGATTTTTTTGAATTGTTTATTATTTGATCTCAACTCCATGTAATGCCATCTTGTAGCGCGGTCATGACCGTATTATCTCGGGTGAAAAAGATAATCCCATTTGATTATTATATGCTTAAATCTGGTCTTACTTGGTTACTTTCGCCTGCCGGGTGGATTTTACTTATGTTGAACATGGGTTCTGTTCTACTTTAGCAAGGTTGAAGGCGGGTCGAATACCAAAGCCTTAGAGGAAAATGATTGTGAGGACAAACTAATCAAACGGGAGCATGCTAGGTGTGTAGCAAAAATCTAAGTTAAAAGAGAAATTATGCACAGTTACATCTGGAGGTCGATCAATGCAATTTTCTATGGAAAACGTGCTGTTTTAAGTATGCTCCAGGGGTTGAAGGTGATGAAAATGTTCACAAGAATTACACACATGGGGTGCCTTGTACGGTAGCCGAGCCGTTTAAAGTGCTCCATGTTTGATACTTGGGGCTTGTTCTGATTTTCTGAATTTTATTTATAATCATTTAATTCCCAGCAAAACAAGGTAATGGATACTGAAGAGATTTTAGCATTGGCAGCAAAATTTGGTTCAGCTACTCTAATTTGGAGAGTTTTAATGGGATGTCTAGCAAATCCTGCAGGTTCGCGAGGTTGTGCAGATGATGGAAATGGAGCTCGGGGAAGGGTGGATAATGGATAAGCACTGTAAGGTAGTCGGTTGAAGTAATGACCCGCTTATTTTCTGATATTTTAGAGATCAAAGATCTTACATACAGCTACTTACTGCTCGAGCATTTATTTTTTATCGTTGTCCTTGTTGTTCAATAATAGGTAGTTCATAAGCATTTCATCACATTTTGCGTATTCCTTCGTCATATTGTGGGAAAATTAGTTTTCTATTCCCTTCCTGAATTCTACTGCAAATTTTGTTTGAAAAATAATTTTGAGTGGGAAACTTAGTTCATTTGTGGCTTCTAATAAGTTTTTTCGGTCTGCGTCAATGGCTAAAAGGGTATATGCTGTGTAGGTATGAAAAATCGACGTGCCTTCTGGTATTTGGTCTCTTTGAAGGTGTTAAAATAACATCTTTCAGGTTTGCATTTACGTGCTAGATAGAAAAATGATAATGCACGAATGCAGTTGTTGAAAAATAATGAATAAATCTTTCTGCGATTAATCTAAACCTCGGCCGGTTGTTTTCATAATTGC